TCTCTCTCTCTCTCTCTCTCTCTCTCTCTCTCTCTCTCTCTCTCTCTCTCTGGTCTAGTTTTGTCGCTCTCCATAATTTTGTGAGTTTCTTTTTTTCTGTCAGCATGTCTGGATGCCCCTATTCCTCTGTGTTCCTTCCTCTTCTTTATTTAGTCTCACTCACATTCCTCCCTCCTTCTCTCTTTCTCTCTATCCCCATCTCTCTCTCTCTCTCTCTTTCCCTCACTCCACTTTTCGTCTTCTAAGCTACTTTTTAAATTGTGTTTTCTAAGATTCCATAAAAATGTTTGTAAAAAATAGACCTGTGAACTTTATAGTAATGCAAAGTCTGAGAGATAAAACATTGGTAGTTATGAGAAACAGACATGGTATTATTTTAGATCACCCTTTTTCAAATGCCATTGGTCCCTGTTCTGACAGACCAAAAAAAACGGGTTTTTAATATTCGATGCTCTTCTTACGGTGTGACGTTTGTGTCAGTGCAAAGATTTTAGCATCACATAATATAATGCCACCTTGTGAAGAGACATTTCTTTGTCATTTATTTTTACGTTTGAGTTTAAATGAATAAGAAATGTTTGAGAAATTTAGTACGTATACGGTTTGACTACGACGAAGACGCATTGTTACGGTTTGCTAGTTAGACTGCGACAAAAATATGAACTTTTACAGTTGCCATAACAGCTTAAACAAATTTGAAACATAGATAAAGCATATCATAGATTCAATAAAATATGTTTAAGTATTTCTAACAAACAAGTCTTTATTCTTTATCCAACAAGTTGTGTTGAAAAATCCTGAGGCATTATCAAAATAATGTAGACATTATAAGATGATTGTTGCAATAAATGCTATTTCACCACAACATACAATCGTGTCTACTTTTACTGCAAATATCCTTTATTCAGTGATGGTCGTGCTTGTGACTACTTTGTGCGCCTTAAAAAATGTCAGCCAAGTGAAAGCAAGGCAAGTGTTCAACACGTTGTTGCAGCGCCTTTTGTCAATCGCACATGCGAGCGCGCGTGCACACACACACACACACACACACA